ACCAAAAATGATGTTTTTGCAATTATCTCTTATTTCATAGATGGAACACATTTCAATAAAAACTAATTACAAAATTGATATATATATATAAATAGGTTTGGATTTCTACTAGGAAATCACCTAAAACGATTTAATTATGCCCAATTAATTAAATCCAAATTTGTATTTTAACAACTATATTACTACTCTTATAATTACCGTAAACCTATAAAATTCAAACTATATTTGCAATCATTTGAGTCATAMGTTATATCTTCRAAAATTATGATATTAAATAAGATTTTTGTCTCCCGTCAAACGCGTTTGAAAATAAAAAATCATAACCTTTTATAATATATAGAAAAATTAAAAACAATAAGATCAAATTATATATCTTCCATATATATAAGTATATTTTATTTTACAAATTTTAATATMTGCATGACACTTAKACTGAATGTAAATATTTTAAATCTAAATCGAATTCRTTTGAGATTATGGGTTCTCTCAAACTTATATAAACTCACCAAACCCACAAAATATTGCGTTAATATGTAAATATTCTTAAATAAAAAAATAAAAAAGTGAAAATGATGATTTTCAAAATGCAACCGCTGATATTTGATTTGTAAAGTTGTAAAGTTGACATAAATATAATTTTTATAAAGTAACTAATTCATTGTTAAAAAATTATATTATATGACGTTTAAATATTAAAATRTTATATTTTAGTCGAATTTAAATTAATAACATATGTATTTGTGAGTTTATGTTAAAAAATTGATGTAAATATGTAAAAATTTTCAATATAATATATAAAATTAATTAGAAAATTTGATTAGTAAATTTAATCGATGTATCCTTTAAAATCATCATTGGATGACACATAAGATATTTTTCACTTAGTTTTATGACCTATCGATCATTTCTTTTTAAGCCATATATGTTTGGATCTATAAAATTAGGATTTTAGATTTATTTTATTTCCTTTTTTGGGGGCTATGAGGCATATATTTGACTAGTGCCATAACGGACCGCTTTAAGGCTTACCCTTTTGTCTATCCCGTTAATAACCACTAGGTGACTCTCCGCGTTATACGCGATTAAAGATTTGTTAAAAATTAGATAAATTAGAAGAATATTATTTTATGGTTAAAAATTTCAAATGATGTTTAATTTAGATTCCAATTCTGTTTTTTGTATGAAATAATATCTTTTTTGTTTGTTAGCACTAATTTT